CAGTAGACACCACTCAACTTTCTGCAGATGCACAGAAGTATTGCGCATATCTCCTTAATTAATACATTCTTTTCAGTAATTACGACACTACTGCCATCATCACACCTAATAGTTAGCTAAATAGTCACTGTTATTGTTATAATAAACTTGATACTACACTAAAATACAGGTAATACAGTCTACACACTACACAGTAATTAAATAACAGTTAAATATCTCAGTATATACAGTAATGTTGTACAATTAAAAAGGTATAATGAATATAAGCTGTCCTATCTTGGTAAAAGATGATCCATCACCTAGAGACGGAGTAAGACTTCATTAGTGTACATCAAAAACCATCTCACTATAAATAGAACAGTAAAAACACTAATATACAGCACTTAAGACAGTATTGTACTGTATTTTAAACAGTACTTTACCTAATTGTACACGTTCAGTAATACAGTAAAACTCATAAGCTTATACAGTAGTTATACATACACAATGCAGTATTGATCTATAGTGTATTTACCTAGGTAACTACAGTTGTAATGGATAAGGTAAGCCTCGGACAGGCCAGGATTGAGTACAACAAGTCCCCAATGATAGTGAAAGACGGCCCGTCGCCCAAAAATATCGAGAAAGAAGGTCCTTTAATACTTTAAGTCCCAGCCAGAGTCAATTTGTTACCAAGAATAAGCCACACATCTTCACTACAATGTAGGATGGGCCATAATCATTAACCACACCTACCAATTAACTCAGACCTCCTCAGCTCGAGCAGCTTTCAGGTTGGCCCATTCATTTATACAGGGAGATCTGCGCATGCGCAGTAGAAAATACCGGAAACAGTTTACACACCACACAGTAATTACTAATTAAAAAACAGCTAAATATCTCAGTATAATTATTATACAGTAATGTTGTACAATTAAAAAGATATAATGAATATAAGCTGTCCTATCTTGGTAAAAGATGATCCATCACCTTGAGAAGGAGTAAGACTTCATTAGTGTACATCAAAGTCCATCTCACTATAAATAGAACAGTAAAAACACTAGTATACAGCAGTTAAAACAGTATTGTACTGTATTTTAAACATTACTTTACCTAATTGTACACCTTCAGTAATACAGTAAAACTCATAAGCTTATACAGTAGTTATACATACACAATACAGTATTGATCTATAGTGTATTTACCTCGGTAACTACAGTTGTAATGGATAAGTTAAGCCTC